ATGGTTTTTTTTATTTTTTGGGAAAAAATGATTGGGATGCCACGAGCTTGAGAGACTTGTCAAAGAGATAGTGGAGAACATAAGATGCACCGAAAGGCATCCATCACGCATTAGCTGTGATCGATCACATTCCTAGCGGCACTTATGTCGTTGTCGGGATTGCCATCGGTCGTATGCTAACCACATGCACGTCGCACAAGCAAGATTGGACACCACGTGGCTGACACGGCATTCTATTACTCGCTTCGAAGAATACAAGTCGAGTAAGCTTGCAGCCAATTCCAAATAAATAGTCTACATGGATTTCTCTGCACATGCAAATATTTCTTGTGTTTGATGGGTGTCACAATTATCGAATTCGACCCAAATCTTATAAATCTCATAAAAATAATAAATATTTTTTTATAAAGAAAAATATTACAAATATTATAATAAAAATACATGTGTGAACATCATAAAATGCCTTCAATTTTGTTAAGTTAATTAATCCATCAATTTTGTTAAATCATTTATCAAAATAATTAAATTAAAATTAATAATAATATTATCAAAATGCTTCAATTTAGATTGATAATATTATATTCATCATATACTTATAAGTAAATATTAGTTTTATCTATTTTCAATATAGAATTAATCGAGATATTATTTTTTAAAATAATTATTTATTTATTAGAAAAGTAAACACTAGAGGTGTGGGTACAAAATTCTCGTTCAGGGATAAAGAGAAAATTTTAATTAAGGGAATTTGAGACATTTAATTTATATAAATAAAAAATAATTTAATTAATTAGATGAGTGTAATAATTATATTCTATTATCTTTCATCATAAATATGTTCTAGTCCATCAAATTGATTAAAAAATTATTATACATGATATTTATATTAATTATTATATAATTGATAGATTTAAATTGTTGGATGACAGCCGAGAGGCATTTTCTCATCTCAATTAATTCGATTGCTATAAAAATACCAGAATATTATTAGCAAAGAAAATTTTATCGTCCAATTTGGTTGATGGTATTTTTGACAAAAAAAAAAAGGAGAAGAAAAATTCTGGTCCATCATCATCACCGCCACCACAATCCATCATCTCTGACCGTCCATCATCCGGGCGAAATCATCAAAGCAAACGAAGCCGTCGCCGTCGGTGTCCACCCCTTGGATCATGCAACGGCAATCCTCCAAGGTGCACCCGTCGTCCCCAAGCGTCACGAACACGCCCAGCAACTCCTCGGCCGAGATTCTCCCGTCCCCGTCCGCGTCGAACACCGCGAAGGCCTCGCGCAGCTCCGCCTCCGCCTCCGCGGCCGCCGGAAGCTGCAGCTTGGCCCCAAGCGCCTCCAGCTCCTCCACGGTTATGCACCCGTCGCCGGCGAGGCCGACCTCCGCGGCGACCGACGCGGCTTCCTCCGCCGTGAGAGGATCGGGGCCGAGCCGCCGGAGAACGGCCTCGAGCTCCCGGACCACGATCTTGCCGTCGCCGTCGCGGTCGAGGACGCCGAAGAGGTCGTGGACGGAGAAGGGGAGGACGGATCTCGGGGAGGCGTGGAGGAGGGACGAGGAGGTGGAGGACTCGTCGGACGAGGAGGAGGTGGAGGCGTTGTTTCCGAAGGAGCTGTCGCGGCGGTTCTTGGACTTCTTCTTGTCGGCCTTCTTGGAGTTAGAGCCGAAGAAGGAGGCCACGCTCAGCTTCATGCTTTCTCCCCTCCCCGCCTTACGGGATAGGAAGGCAGAGCTGAGGATAGAAGCCGAGGGGAATCGGATGATGGGCTGAGGGGGATTGAGAGGGAGGGATTAATAGCGAGCGGGATGAGAAAGGAGAAAGCCGGCGGGAAGCGAGTAGCTTCCGCGAAGTTTCCTGCAAAGTTATTTTTTCTTTCTTTTATGGACGTGGGGCCCAGCATTAATCGCATGCGAGGAGAGGACATGACGAGGACAAAGTGTATACAGGCCATAAAACAAAGTCTCTTAATAAGATTTAAGTTACTGAATTTAATGAAACATATATTAGACCCTTTAATAATAACTTAAGCTTTTATAATGGGGTTTTAGCTTTTGAGATGGGCTGTTACCTAATCATATCCAGGCTTGCTTGTGAAGGAGACTGATGATGAGACGTGTATTAAGTTCTTTACTAATAGGATCGGTGGTTACACAATTATTTCTATGTTTGCTGGTAAGAGACGTCATTTACTGCAAGATGAATGATTATTATTTTTAAATAACCTTTAATTATTTGAGACCATAAAAATCTCTAAAAACTATAGGGTTTATAAATGGATCGAGCAATAGGAGAAGCTCCATTGAATATTTAGATCAGTTGTATCACAGTTTTGCTTTATGGAGATCGTTTAGGTGTATACAATTACCACTAATAATTGGGGTTCTCCTCTCCGATGCACAAAATAAAAATTAAAATATAAATAAATAAAAGGATTTGTCCGGGATAGATAAATTATCTTTGAAAAAAGATAAAATCTTAAACCAAAAGGTAATAAATAGATTGAGAACAATTATTGTATATAGAGTTATTCTTATTTTTTCAAAAAATATTAAAAATATGAAAAAAAAATAATTTGTCGTTGATTGAGCCATGCAACCCACAAAAGAAATATGTAATTATGACAATAACAAATCCTAGAAAAAAACTAACAAAACTATAATTAAAAAAGACATATGGTAGAACAACAATCTAATACACAAAGGTGGAAAAATGATTCCAAAGCAATCTCCAAAGAAAAACTTTGATTCTAGAATCTTTAAGACTCCAAGTTATCTTTCAAACCTCTCACCCTTCAACTTGGTAGGTAGGTAGAGTCATTCTTTAAGTATTTATAAATATTCTTGAAGATAGTAAGTCTAATCGGATAAGGACTTCAAATCCAAACATGTAGAAGAAGAATATTAAAAATATATATTATATTTTTTAAGATTTTATGTTTTTCAAATCGTTAACTATCTAAATAATAATAATAATAATAATAACGATGCATAATTATAATCGTATTTGTACTCATTCTCTTAAGATATATGCCTTCTATTCATCTCTTTTCATTTTCTTTTAGTATATTTTCCTCGAAAATCTCTTTCATTGGATCCTCATCAATTGATCACTCGATCCTCGTCAATCGATTAGTATTGTAATGCATGCCAAAAATCATGAAGAATATTGAATCAAACGAGACAAATAAAAAATTTTAATATAAAAGACAACTTCTTTCCTTTCTCCCTCCTAAGCGACGATCTTTGTGTACCGGTATTGTCTCAAGGAAAAAGAAAAAAAAAGAAAATGAGAAGTCAATAAAAAGAAAATAACAAAAAATAATTAAAAATAAAAGTAAAAAAATATTATATTATATTATAATAATTTATTAAACCCAGAGTTTGTTTTTTTATATCCATTACTATTCCACTTAGACTCGTTTGTTCAAAGAAAAGTGTGTAGGAGTTCAACGGACGTAATTGCCAACATCGACGAAGTTTCATTGCTGTTCTATTTCTTGACCACAATAGCCTAACGCACGGTTCGAGTTTGACCAAAGCATTCACAAAGCCTCAAACCAAAAGCTTGTTTGGAGCACAAATTTGAGCGAATTGGAATTGATTCATAGACATTTATTATCTACATTTATAAAAAAAATTTAATTTTTTTTTCATGTGAGAATAATTTAAAGTACTTTTGAATAACAATAATTTTAAGATATTCAATATCGTACCGTACCGATGTTTCGAGGTTGGTTCGGTATGGTACGATACCGACTTATCAAGCGGTATACTAGGACACCGAACAATACACAAGGGTTTACCGAGCTATTTCCTCGTAGCACTATAGCACTGCTACAGTGTACAACTGTAACACTATAACACGGTTCGTACGGTAGCGGATAGTCCGCGTACCGATATGCTGTCGGACCGGTACGCATCGTCAGTACCGGACGATATCATTCGAAATTGTATACCATGATACAAACAACAGATTTATACACTATCTTACATAAATTTAATTTTTTTAAATATATTTTCTCTTATCTTTTCTAAATCTACTAAAAAGCCCACAAAATATTTAAAATATTTCAGCACATCTCATATAAGAAAATAACAAAAATCCTAATATCATAGTTTATTAGAAGAAAATTAACTCGTATCACTTCACAAGTGAAGCTAAGCTGCCACTGGGTATGGTGGGGACCCCCTTCTCCATGAGTAATCGCCATTCCTCCCTTCCTCTGTTCCCTCGATCTATTAAGAACAACAGTCATCTTCAATGAGGAACAAGCAACGATCTTTAGCTCATTAAGACTCCAGAAATGCGGTGTTGGATCTCAGAAATCATCGACGCAATTGCCTCCTCACCTCCTCACCTACCCCCCGCCCCCCCGCGGGACAACCGCGTGTAGTCAATTTAAGCAGCTGCAATTGCGAGACATCTGCGACGCATTTGCCACGCAATTTGTGTGGACTCGGTGGCGCACTGCGCGACAAATATCTTCGTCCTCGTCCTCCTCGTTGCGCCGGTCGCACACGGCTTGCAGGACCGCAGCAACAGCGCACAGGCCACCTTCCGCTGTCGCTGTAGTGCCCTTTGCGTCCTCCAAAAACTAAGCTTTCTCTGTGACACGACAACGGCAACTTAGCTTTCTCTGCGACAAGACGCTTCATTCATCGCCATCAGCAGCAGCAGCATCATAAAGTATAAGACCATTTTGGCGTACAGTTTTGTCTCTTCATCGATCGAATACTTAGGAATTTGTCCATCTTGAGCCTTCAGATCACCCGCTTCAAGATTTTTCACAGCCTTTGTGAAAAATCTTGCTCACCAAATGTTTCCATCTTAATCTTGCTCAAAGATAGCGTATACTGCAAAATAGCAGCTCATATGACCATGGGATCAGAAATGGATACCACTCGAGATGTCATCTCCAAACCAAACGAACAAATCCGCTGTCACACGCGTGATATCTTTGTCTGTGGGATTTATTAAGGTGAGGCTCTCATGGATGTGGTGATAGAGCAAATCATAATTGCATCCTGTAAGCAGGAAGAATTCCTCGAGGGATTTGCTGCCTTCAACAACACTTGGATGTATTATTTTTAGTTTTCCGATTGCAACATTAAAAAATATATGATATAGTTTTCTAGGAAAAATGAAGATCAATTGGTCATGTTAAATAGATGACAGTCATAAATGGAATTTGCAAAAGCTGGATGGAGTTGACGACTTAAGTCTTGGGATATCTCATTCCTTTTTTAAATTAAGGAAGTAAATTGTCGATGATCAAGTAAATCTCTTCCTCACCCTTCACAGCATTCGATGACAGAGAAAACTAATCTACAATATATTATACACTGCTATCTTATTTATAAGCATGATATATCTTATAGTATATCATATGGTATACTACCATATATTCCAGATAAGGATATTTAGTCCACATCATGATTTACCTATTGTTAATATAGTATATCATATGGGATGTCGATTTGGAACTAATTGAGACTCTATTGTTAATATAGTATATTATCTTTGAGGTATTGAACCTAGTAAAATGATATCGGGGGGTGCTTAGTGTTGAGTCTTTTAGAGCTAAATATGATAGAGCTCGAGAGTTTTAATGTAAGAGAAAACATACTTAAAGGACCTAGGTTTATGATCATTATGCTCGAAGATGCATATTAATATCGAGGATGATTATACGTTTCTTATAATCTTTATGAAATTATATCATGTTGAATATGAGAAACATGCAATAGTCATGAATGTAATTTGTAACATCCGAGAAATAATGTCGTGATGTTGTTCAATATGGTATCGAGTTATTAGACATGTGACATCAAAGTGTCTCAATCACATAGTAAATATTTGTCGATCATGTCATCGTTCTCCTATCACCTACGCATACCGAGCATACCAATATTATGAATTCTATAAAATATTTTAATAAATTATAATATAGAAAAAAAACCTATGCACCATATAATTTTTTTTTATAATGTGTTCTTTTATTTTTTAAGATAACAAAGGACTAAAATAAGATCATAAATGATTACACGATAATTTTTTATTTTATCATCTTTTAGTGAATTCTTACCTCATGTCAATTCATTGACAATAATTTTGAATGTTAAAAATATTTAAAAATCATATGAGAGTTTACCCAAAGCCCTAAATTTCTTATGGGCTAAAATATAAAGTGAATATGCCAATTAGTTTAGAGTTGATAAAAGCTTTGAAAGTTATATGGTCTATCACAAGGTTATCTGGTCTACATCATTATTTTTTATTCAAAAAAATCTATTCTAGAGTGGATAATTTTTACCCTTTGATATATTAAAAAATAATATATATTGATACAATAATGACAAATGGGTATAATATATGAAAAATAATATACACGAAGGTAGTGATAACATATGAATACACTGTTGTTGAATCTCGGATTTTGACGATGAAACCAATTGATAAGTGTTTATGATTTGATATGTGTTTTGAGTAACGTAGGATGCTTCGATCAGGATGAGACAATTAAAGCAGGAAGAAGGATTGATCAATATATCAACAGAAGGTTTCGAGCCATGGATTCGGGCATCGGGCCAAGATGAGTGGATATTACGCCAAGGATATCAGAGTTACGGAGGTCAACTGGCCGATTGGGCAATAAGCCGTAAGAGAGGACGATGCACCGAAGAATCGGACGAAGCGTCGATGAACCAATGACATGCCGAACGACATGATTCATGTTTAGAAATAATTGTCTAGATTATAGTGTGTTTTTATGTGTGCAGGATTAACTAAATAGCAAGGCATAAAGCAAAATGAAGTCTCGTTATCAAGAACGTGATTTCGCTGGGAGTTCGAGAGTTCATCGAAAGTTCGGACATTCCTCAGAAGTTATGCCGGAACCAACCGAGAAGTCCAGGAGCTTGTTGGGAGTCCGCCGAAACATTACCGAGAGATCGTCGGAAGTTCACCGAAAGAAACCAGACTTATTTTGCTTAGAATATGTCTTAGGAATCGTAGTTAGCACGTAATTAGAGTTGGGATTGAGAGGTAATCCCATCAACTCTGTTAGGGGCCAACTGGGCCCGAAGTTGGACTGGTTTGGGCCAGATTAAAGGCCCAACCAGGATGCTAAAAGTCTGACCGACGGTGGCATTGCTTAGGAGACTCAGTCTCCCAGGTGGTTTGGGCGGTGGTATCGTTGGCAGTAAATGCTGCCAGTAATGGTACCGTCAGCAGTAAATGCTGCTAGCGATGGTACCGCCCTTTTCAGGTAGTGGCACCGCTAGAGCTCGGTCTCCGAGCTCTATCAAGCAGTGGTACTGCCCGTACCCAGGAAACCCGGGATGAGATATTTTTAGGCTCCAAGTTTGAATCAACTTGAAGTCTATAAATACCCCTCTCATCCCTGGTTAAATGACACAAGTATTAAGAGTGAAAAAGAAAGAAACGCTGCTGTAATCTTGTGTGAACTCCTCTCAAAGTTCTAAGTGTTAGAATAGTTTGAGAGATGAGTGAGTGAGGGTGTAAGGGTTATCTCCTAAAACCGGTAAAAGGATAATCGAGTTATAAAAGGTGGTTGGTTTTTGCCTATTGAAGGAAGACCGATAGTGGAAGCTGGTGGCCTCGACGGAAGAGGAATCGGTGGAGTGGATATAGGTCACAACGACCGAACCACTATAAAAATCTGGTTTGCGTTTTGTCTTAAGCAATTTATTATTTTCAATATATTTACGAACGTGTTTAAGTTAAGATCTTTACGAAACAATTTTCGCTAGAATCAATTTTAATCGAAACGAAACGATTTGAATATGTGATTTAACCACTGCAGTAATTCATCCCCCCTCTTAGTGCCAACTCATTCCTAACCGTTGTAACTCATTTCAACTCAATCATAGACATACTAACTCAGTTTTACAATCACTACTATAACTCCACATGATAACTCAATCCAATTTGATAAATACTATTCAACTAACATGTACGTTAGTAGATATTATGCATCTCAATTCAGGCCAGAAAAAGGACTATAAGCACCTCTTCATTAGATCGTCTAAATTGGTCAAATAAGCACCATCCAAGCTCTTAATATATGACAAAACCTATTAGCCTAATAATTGCTCAGAAAGGGGCTAACTCCCACATAGTTGATTTTTTCTTTTCAAAGGATATGTGGTTAAAGGTGAGATTTGAGCTCATAACTTTGTTATAATATATCAATTTTTTTACAATAAAATTATACATTCTTATGATAGTCTATCACATATATAAAATCACTAATAGATAAGTCAACACCCAATCAAAATAGCTAGATTATATGAAAATAGAGAATATTCTTGGTAGCCTTTTAGGTTTGAAAAATCTTTCCTATTGGCACGATAATTATTTTCCTCACACTTATAGAATATGATCTCTTTGTTATATATATATATATATATATATATATATATATAGCTTCTCCTCATTATGGATATCATTTGACTTAGCATTAGAGATGTTGGGAGAAGTCTAAAAGTAAAAGTATCCGAAGATCAATAATAAAGTATAGATTAGAATAAGCTGATGTAAGATTTATATGATTTGACATTCATAAAAAAATTAAATCTTTCACTATTTGATAATAATCAAATATAAAAAAAATTCTCTCTTTTCAATTAAAATTAATTGGACTCAAAATTTTGGAATCTCTTGTATACCCTCTCTCAGGTAGACATTAAATATATTTTCTCTCAACCTTTGTAGATATGCTAGAAAAAAAAAAATCCTACAAGTATTCAAAACGAAGATTTCAATTAACAAACAATAGAATCTCTTGTATGCTTCTTCCTCGTTAAAACCTAAAAAATGAGGTTTTTAAAAATAATAAAATTTCAATTAACAAAGATTTATTTTCATACTTACCTCTTTGCTCTTCAAATAATATTAATTCTTTAGGATATTTAACTCTTATTAAAACTCAAAAATACTTAAGATATGAAATACTAGAAGATATCTAATGCATATCCTTCTTCGAGAAAATACAATGTTCATACTCCATTAAAACTCTCCATTGTATTTTGGTCACCAAGAAAATAGATAATTTCTTACTCGATGTAGCATCCACGATCAATAGATAATCAATCTCATATCATTAATATTACGAAAGGGATAGATAACAATAGTCTTATATTGCCCATTTTATTCCGATCAAAAAGAAATGTCACACGAAGGCGACATGACCTAATTCTAAATCACATAAGTATCCTTTATCTTTTATGATTGAGACAATTGAATATTGTAATACTTATTGTCCCTTGTCTTTGTAATATAACATGTAAACTTATCCTTTATTCCTCCCTCGTATTTTAGGTCATTATGTCAAGGTTGATTGGTGTCAATATGATTCAAATTAGATTCATAGAATTTGTTGATGTATTTATCCGTGTAGATTTTTGTAGCAAATTATAAAACCAACATTAATCTCATAGCATGTTATCAAAATAGGTAACGAACCTAATTATATTGCTATATTAATTTCACATGTATAAAAATATATATTTTTATAAAGGTAAGAAACGAATGTAACATTCGAACCTAAGATGATAAGCTATCAAATTCTTTACTAGCTAATATTTTTTTAAAAATATTTGTATGTATTTATCTTGCACTTAAGTCGATGTGTCGACATTAACAAAATGTATACTTGTCTAAGCACATAATATTTAATGTACTTTCTTGACTAAATTTTTTATTCTATTATGAGCATTTTATCGGATGGCACCCCCAATACACCGTTTTGTTCAACTTAGTCGAAAATATTCTCAATCTTTATTAAAATGATTTGACCACATATATTATTTAAAAAATCGATAATTGATTATCATAAAAAATTTAAAAAATAAAAATAATAATATTAATCATCTTAGAATCTTTATCTAATGATTTTATGATAATTAATTATTAAATTAATTTTTTTTTGAATAACATCTATCGTCAAATCTAAAGTAGGAGGATATTTTCATCCAAGTTAAGAAAAAAAAGGATACCTCTTAATAAAAAATGAATATAAGGGTGCGATCTGACAAAAAATCAATATTAAGTTTTTCTTCATAAAATACCCTTCCATTATTACCTTAATCCATTTAACTACAAGTTAGATTTAAATGTAATTGAAAGTTGGTCAGTTTCTCGTAATACCAGCAATTGTGGGGAACACCATGGGAAGAATAAGAGACGCTGACTATATTATCGGCCTTATTAAACCCAATCTATGCATAGGGAGGGCAGGGCAAGTTTTTCTTTTGTTTTTTGAGAAAAAAAATCGATTAAATTCAAACAGAGATACAAACTAAGCTACTGAAGGATGATCAACGAACAAAAAAATGGAAAGCTTCCTGTTTTCTAGGTAGGTGTTCAAAAACTTGTAATATCGGATTCAGAAGAGAGATAAAAAATATTTGTAAATAGTTCTACAAACCCCACAAGATTAGCCCTCTTTAGTTTGTCAAAACTATTTCGGATGATCGGAAGTGATACGTTGCGACTATTGTCGCTAAGGCATAGAATAGTGAAGTCTACGTATTCTGCTCCTGGATTAAAATATATAATCAGTTAGCCACTTGTGTGATGTAATGCATTTGGGAGAAAAAATGCCTAGATAACCTAACACCGACTTGCTCGTTTTAATAGGAGTTTGAGAGGTAACTCGACGAACTATTCACAGGAATATTTCTAAGAGTTCAAGAGGCACTTTGTGATGGTTATGAACTAACTTCCATACGGAATATTCATAAGAATATTCTTATGAGTTCGAACTATTTTTTTGTGGAATATTCACAAGAATATTCTCAAGAGTCCGGGAGCTATTTGGATAAGTTATAAATCATTTCCCTTGCAGAATTTTTAAGGGGGAGAACTTAGAACTAGAGAAGTAAATCTCGTTACTAATTTAAGCATCGAAGAGATTGACTTGAGAAGCTATTCTCGACTTTGATCTTCATGTAGATGATATCTCGGGTGAATGTGCTTTTCATCTTGGACAACTTCGAGTATATAGATCGAAGCCATCACATGCTAATAAGGTCATTAATGATATTTTCTTCCAATAATGATAATACCATTATTAGAAGAAAGTTTGTTAAGCTCACTACCTTCATCCAAACCTGTCCGTTATCAAAATATCAAAATTCATATTTATTATGCTCACTATTTCAATAAGGGAGCTATAGGCAGGAGAGAAAGAAATAATAGAACTTAGTCAGACGATTTATAGAAATTCATATTTTTAAGTTACCAAGCCAATTAGACCGATATTCTTAGTAGTTGTAGACTTTTAAGTATTGCCATATTTATTTTGATCATCATTATTAATGACAGTTCTAATGCTTAACATTATCCGACAATATGAATACACTCGATTTTCCAATCGTAATATGAAAGCTGTCTTCGTGTACTCAAAACATGCAATTAAAAGATTCATCATGCTAACTAATCTACCTCAACTCAATAGGAGAAAACCACGGCATATATAATTTTTGCTCTCAATCAGACCTTCCAACTATATAATGTTTCTTTGAATCTGAATTAAACATCCTTATCCGATCAAGCAAAAGAATCAATAGCAAATCTCGTCTCTGTTGGAGTAACCATATCTCTCTCATCACTTCTTCCTTTACTTTCTTCACCGGATATACCTCCACAGATTCCTCGGTTTTCCTTACTGCTTGCCTGCTAAGGAAAACATAGTCGTCTAAATACCCAAAAAAATGAAGGAAAAATTGAATTAATAAATAAATAAAAATAGGGAAAAGAGATAAATTAATAAATTAATAAAGATAAAATAAATTAATAAAAAAGAAAGAAAAATCACTTAAAATAAAAGAGAGAGAGAGAAATAAAAACCACTCCATTTTTTTTATTTAATTGATTAATTAATTGAATCAAAAAGTGGCTTTTTATTATTTAAAGTCGCGTCCCCGTCCGGGAAGTGCCGATCAGTCTCTGTTCCGTCGAAGTCTCCGCCCTCCTCCCCCGAATCGCCGCCCGTTCTTTGCCGCTCCCTCCACCGTCCATCCTCTTTCCGGTACGATCCACTGCCATCCTCGTCTCCCTCATCTTGCCGCTCACCTCGTCTCCCCTGCTTTCCACCACCTCCCTCGCTCTCCAAACCCTAGAAGCCCTCGACCCTCTGATCGCCTCATCAGCCTGTTCGCCCTCATGGCCGAATCTCCCTGCGGCTTTCCCATCTCGGATTACTTTTCCTCCTTCGCATCCAACTTTAAGAATCCCTTCCCCATTCTCAGGTCGTTCAGCTTCCACCACCACCGCCACCTTCGCCCCTCGTTGAGGACGCTCGTGAATCTCTTCGCTGAAGAACCGAAGCGCCCCAAGTTGGTTCTCTACACCACCTCGCTCCGCGGCATCCGCCGCACCTTCGAGGACTGCTGCGCCGTCCGCGCCATCCTCCGTGGCTTACGCGTCGCCGTCGACGAGCGCGACGTCTCCATGGACGTCTCGTTCCGCATCGAGCTGCAGTCCTTGCTGGGCAAGGGCCGGCCGTTGGCGCTGCCCCAGGTGTTCATAGAGAACCGGTGGCTCGGCGGGGTGGAGGAGATCTGTCAGATGAACGAGGCCGGGGAACTAGGCCGGAGGCTCGAGGGCGTCGCCGCGCAGGACCCTACGTTTGTCTGCGACGGCTGCGGTGGGGCGCGCTTCGTGCCGTGCTCGTATTGCCATGGAAGCCAGAAGGTCTTCGTGGAGAAGGAGGGGAGGAAGCGGCGATGCGACGAGTGCAACGAGAATGGGTTGGTACGATGCCTTCACTGCTGTTCATGAATCTCAATAACCCAATCAAATTAGAGATAAGGAAAAGAATAATTTTACTGGAAGTAGCTTCGTAGAAAATAATTTGAAAGAACGAACCAAAGTCAAGAAACTATTTTATTCTTGATCTTTGCTTGTCCCCTTCTGGATGGGACCAGTTGACTTGCTCGAGAGAAATCTGACCCAGTTTATATGTAACTGGGAAGGCTTTCTTGGTGATGCATCTTCTCGATAATTGATGCTGACTCTGAGAATGAACAACTGGTTCTCGTCTCAATAGTTTGGGTCTATTGACGATAAGTTGTGTATATATTATTGTATATATCGGTTTGCCAATAAAGTAAAATAGTCGTGTGTATATATTGTTGTATATATGGGTTTGCCTATAAAATGTTAATTTCTTTTCTTTTCCTTTTGTGCAAACATTGAAGGATGATCATCAATTTGTTTTAATCTTGTTTATTAGGTAAACTTATAAGTCATGTCATATTTGCTAAACTTCCTTTTTGCAATGTGTGCGAAGATTTGCTGTTCTTTTTCGATGCTTTACAGCCTTTCTGATTATATTGAAAATACCTCTCGCACGTTTGATGTGTGAATGTTCTTTCAGGAAAAGTGGATCTGAATTCTGGTTAATTTTTAGATTTTAAGGACATCATTTATAGTCAGAAAAGATTTTCTCGAGGAAGTTTGTTTATATGCTTGGGTGCTAGAAACAATGGTGCATGTCCATGAGTGTCACTGATTCATGCCTTCATGTATGAACAAACTGCTGCTGCTGCTGCAACCTATATCTATTATATATGTAGATTAGTTTATTGAGGTAGATTGTCACTAGATGGTAGCATGTAGTCCCATGTATTTATGCATGTTTTATTTATGTTGAATTTCTCTGCAAGCTAAATGTCTTTTCTAATGTTGTCAATGATTAACATAGACAGTAGGCTTATTTGCGTCAGGGTTTTTAAGAGGAGATAACACCAAATTATTGCCCATCAGTTTGTGGAGAGAATTCAGAATAATGGTCAATTGGTCATTTATAGGCAGCTGGGAATCTCAAGAGCATAACATGAGTAGGGAACTATAAGATTACTAGTTGATGCAACTGATCTGGGAATATTTGGCATGATATAAGCATTTGTAGCTCTGAAATATTGTTAGTATTTAAATTTTTAAGTGTGTTTTGACAAAGCTAATTGGAAAAGGAATAATCTTCACAGGCTGAAACCATAACCTTCTCAAGCATCTTACAATTGTAGAAGTTCCTCATGAAGTTGTAGGCTGAATGACATATCTTAAAGGTGCTTAGACTAGGCTGGGTGTGATAGTGGGGGTGGTTGGTTCTTGAACTATTCTCCAGTCTCATACAGGTTTCTTATGGATACTCTCAAAATTATGAGATTAATATTCTGGATTCTTGGTAGTTAGACCTGTCTGTTTTTATCTATAATCCTTACAAATAATTTTATCTATCTTTTTAGTAAAAAAAAATATTTGAGTACAGTTGTGATCATTTCTATAAATAATTAAATATTTATATCTTTTCTTAAAAGCAAGTATTTATAATTATAAGATCAAGTTATAAAATTTAGAATCATACCATCATATTTATTTCTCTCTCCATAACCAAAGCCCTCGTGCATGCTTTTATATTTAACATATGTTTTCCCTATATAATCATTCAAGTCTTCTCAAATTATAAGTTTTTCGATTATAAACATTTTTTGAATGTTATCATCTAACTTTTCTCAAAATTATTTTTTGGTCTAATCACTTGATTCCACTCGAGGGGTATAAATACTAATACATTTAAAATATCTTATCATTTCACAAAATTTAAAATTATAATTCTATCTCAAAATCATTTTACATCTACAATATTGTTCTTAAGATCCTTATCAACAATAATTCTTATACCAATTTCGTGTTTAACTTTTGAAGTATACCAAATTTTAAATCCAGTAGTATTAAATTCTCTAAATTTTTTTCCTACCCACTTAGTCTTTTATAAATAAATAATATTTATTCTTTTTCTTATCATCATGACGTCTAGCAATTCTAATCTCTTCCTTAAAATGTTAATATATTCTAAGTTGTTAACCCAACCATCTGGACTAACTTTTTTACTCGTTGATTCAAAATAATAAAAGAACCCTTGCCTACTTAGTACCATACTCGGGCATCAATGTGATGGGCTTCTTCCATTTGTGATTCAAGACACCTAGGTGGTGAAGGTGTCTTACGTCATTTTCGAGTGACGACCTAGATAACTCTGATATATACTAAGTATTTTGATTATAAAATTAACATATAGTTTGGTATAAACTTGAGCATGTAATATACCTTTAACTGTCCATACATAATGAATATTTTTTTATCTGATTTTTTGAAAGTTATTTTTTAATTAAAATTTATACTTAAATCATTTGTTAAACAAAATTATATATATTAAATCTCTCCAAGACTCGATCAATATATATTTTTTGAGATAATCTTAATAATATTTGATATCTATCCATAAATATCTTAATATCAATATTATAAAATGTCTCATTCATATCAATAATTTTAAGAAAATTTCTAGTTTGGAACAATAAATCAAGATCACTACTAGCAAAATATTATCTATATATAGATCAATATAATAAATATATTCTCACTAATCTTTAAATATAAATATTGATAAATAATATTTTTTTAATTTTTTTAAAAAATAATGGTATTATGAAATTTTATATACTATTATCTCGAGGCTCGTAAGGTCATAAATGAATTTCCTAAATTTGCATATCAAATTTTATATTTATAATATTTTCTTTGCATACATTTATGTTACCTCATATAAATATGAAACTCTATTAAAAAAAATATTTTCACATCATATTAACTCAAAATCATAAAGAGCTATTAATGTCATGACGATTCTTAGAGAGTTCATTTAAAAAATTAAAAAAAATATTTTGTTATGGTCGATGCTTTTTTTTATGACTAAAATCTTTGACCACAAGTCTAATCATTATATTGTTCGATATTGCCCTTTTGAATCATATTTATATAATAAACTATTTTATAATTATTACGTACTTCGATAAATTCTCAAATATCATTTTGGTTCATTGATTTTAATTCTTCTTCGATTACATCTTATCATTCTTTAGAATAACTACTTTTCATAATTTATGAAAACAATGAGGAATCCTTTTGATTCCTATATCATAATCTAATCTGATTCTACATAATTAACAAAAATAACATATTTTTCTATCCTTTTAGATATTCTCAAAATTATCAATTGTGATTATTTTGTAGGTTCATCAACAGTGATATAAATATTATGTAAAAGTTCATTAATATTATTTTATTATTTATCTTTATCAAATCATTTAGCAATTAAAAAATAATAATATCTCAAATATAAAATGATAAAAGAGTATCAACCTGTATTTTCTAAATATCAAGGTTAAGTTTTAAGATTTTCACACCTAATTATTTGTTATTTTTTAGAAATCTTGTATTATTAGATTAAACTATCATTGTATTATGATTAAGGTAATAAAATATGAATCCCTTTGAGTTTTTCTAGATAAATAATAAAATATTTAAAAATAATCATTGGATCCAAATTCTTTTCATGTGATTTGAAGATCTTTATCTCTATAGGACAATCTTAAATATATAAATATCTCAAACTGATTTTTCTATCAATCTATAACTCAAAAGAAATTATGGAATTGACTTACTACGAACCATGTTTAAAATATACATAACTGTCATAGAGCTTCTCCTCATATTGATTCAGGTACAAAAGAATAACTCATCATTCTCTTAACTATATCCATAAGAATACGATTTCACTTTCAGCAATTCTGTTTTGTTGTGACACATTGATCTAATAAAAGAATTATAATTATGATCTAATTCATCATAGCTATTAAATTTTTATTTAATCATGATAAGCTTATCTTCATCGAAAGAACAATAATATCATCATTAATTCTATACAAACTATCATAAAAAATTTAAAAGTAAACTTTTATTTCATCGCGATGAGCTTATTTTCATCGAAAGAAAATTAATATCATCATAATTCTAGATAAAGAACACAAAATTCTAGAATGGTAAAAATATAACATTAAATGAATCAATCTCTAGGCATAAGCACTAAATATCAACTATTATCATTTTTGCTTTAAGATGATTACCTATAACGATAAATATTTTATACTTTTTTTTAATATTAAAATGAATCTCTATTAAGTTGAAGCGTCAGAATCAATCCACCAAATATTAGAAATGGACTTCTATAACGTTTGATTCAAAATATACAAACGTCAGGCTAATTTTTTTTTTTTTCGAAATCAAACCTTATAACTCACATTCACATGACCTTTCTTGTCATAAAAATAGTATTTTATTATAAAGATTTTTTTTATGAGTTTCTATAGCATTTATAATCTCAATTAATTTACACTTTACTTTTCTTTTATTATTACTTATTCCCTGAGTAATACTTAAAATATTATGAGTCTTTCCTACTTTATTCTTAATTCTTTTTAAATAGATATACTAGTTAGCTCATTTAAGTTTAACTTATCTTTAATTTTATTATAGTAAATTTTAAATGAGCTAAATTAAGAAAAAATAAAACTAAGAATAAATTATATGAGAAAGGACTCAACTACATTTTTTGAGCTTACAGTTTTATCAAGTATATCAAAAATATAATCTTGAATTCCTCAAATATTATCATGCTAAATTTTAGTCAGTCTTTTCATTAAGATATTAGTTAATGACTTTTCAGTAAATTTAAATTAATCTTTAGTACATTAGATATAGATTGTAATGAAATTTAAATATTATTAGCAATCATCAAAAAAATTGAGACTTTTAGACCTTTCCTAATCATTTACTTTATTTATTTATTTCACGTACCTTACAAAGTTATGTGTATGATCCTGCCAACTAGTCTAATACATCTCGTATAAATTGTATATACTCAAGTCATTTATAATAACTTAATCTAAAAAATATGAAAATATTGCAATGAAAGAAGTATCACTGTAATAATATAATATAATATCAATGCTTTGAGCATTTTAATAAATATTAAATTATTGATATTATCTCGATTTCACCTTGTGGTGAAATATTGATGTATCTAATATTTAGACAAAATTATTTATGAAGGTTTGATACCATCCTCATATAATAGTATGCTACATTTGAGTATACAATCTTAAACGGTAAGGATATCAAAAACAGTATTATTTTACCCAATCACATATTTATTTTAAATATATTCTCCTTTAAGATTATTTAAATCTTTTAATTATATGTGTCATTATTAATATTATTTTTAATATTATTTAAGATTAATTATTTAATTTAATTATATAAGTTATTGGTCTAGGTTACTTTAGTGATTACAAGATCAATACAATAATATAAAATATAAATTAAAATATTATATAAATAATAAAATTTTTATTATAATTAATATCTAATAAGCTTTTCATCCAAAACCACTTTGACAACTACCAACTAAATAAAACTTAGGGATATGAGTTACAAATAATATTTATCAAATTTTATATTCTAATTTATACCAAATCAATTCAATAATAATAAAATAATAATCATAATAATTATTAAATATTAATCGGTATAAAGAAAAACTCATATGATAACTATAATCATGATAAATCATAAATCATACCTTTTATGTAAAAAAATAAATATTATTTTATAATTTTAAATATATGCATGTGAATAATCAAACAAATATCCAAGAATAATAATTAAAATTTTAATTATCACATGTAAAATTTTATCAATATATTATATGAGAAAACTATAAAAGATTATAATTTATAATTTTTTAGTTTTGCATAGAACCCTAAATTATATCAATCAATTCTATTTGATTGGGCAAGCCCATATATTTATTTCAATCATTTGCCCACTTAAATCCATCAAAACTAAAATTGATTAAAACTTGATCAGTGAGTCTAAATTTAGTCAAGTAATCAAAATAAAATCATGTTCAACTTCGATCAAGATATTTAATTAAAATAAATCAAATTAGTCAATTACATAATTAAGGATATAATTTAAAATAAAATTTAATTTCTAAAGAGTACAATTATAATTTTACTTAGAATATATAGTGAAAATTTTAAATTTCTTAAGGTCATAATTGAAAAGTAAATTTAAGGACACATTGGATATTTTCTTGATTTATGAGGGGTAAAATTATCTTTTTTTAAAGACCCTAATTCTTATGCTATTGTCGTCCCGCCCATGGTCTACCATACAACAACTGACCTACAATCTCATTGATTGTCATGTCATGTCGTTGTGTCCACCGACGATTGTGCATCGATTAGTGACCACACCGTCACTACGATGCCTGACGGTGCTCACAAGTTTGTCGCACATGTAGGCTATCACGGTCTTTGGCATCTAGTCGCCGTCGATCATGACTAGCAAACGTCGCAGCAACATTGTTGCAACCACCACATGCAACGACACTTATTACAATTGCTTCTGCACACAATAGTCGTCACAATGACCACAGATAGTAGCGATACTATTGTAGCCATTGCACACAATGACACTACAACAATCGGACCAAGGTAAGTCGATTATCCAAGGCTATTGCACCCCACGATGTTCCGCAAGGTACATGATCGTTGCCCGTCACTAGGCTGACAACTACTGGAGCCTATCACCCTCAACAATACTATCATTGATATTAAGCTTTTAATAGTGGTCCATCGCTAGCAAGCAAATGATCGAATAGAATAGATAGAAAGTAGATCGACAATACAAATATATCATTTAAGTATCATAAATCAAAATTGAATAATATCTCTTTTCATAAGCAAAATATACTAATAAACAAATCTAAATACAAAATAGATATGATATACGTTTACGATTTAATAGCAGCTTAAGCCATCTGATACGATTGAATCAAGATTTGGAAACGAAGCCAACTACTGCCGAGCCATCTACAAAGTTTAAAAAAGCATCACATTCCAATGTAATAGTGACAGGGTTTATCTGAACGTGCAAGCGTGTCAAAAGATGCATCACATTATGATAGGTTGTACACGCAACTTTGACATATATTCTGCAACACTATTTACAATTTGAAATACCTATGCGTCATGAGAAAGACTGGCACAGCTGTTGCCTTCATGGCCAAGTGGCTGTCATCATTCTTGGCTTGGATAAGGAGACCACAATGATCGTTGAATCCCCACTCGGTCATCTTTTCTGTTGATGTGGGTTGCACCACTCGATCAGTAATTAAAGCAATTTAAAGATCTAATGGTGAGCTGTGAGCCAGAAAGATAAAGAAAGAGCCACCACATAATGCGGTCAATTAACAGAGACCATTAAGCTGAAGCTAACAATTCCTGCAGATTTGCGTCCCAGAAACAAATGAAGAGTCTGTACAAAGTAATTTTCCTCATTCTATTGGGTGAGAGGGACACATTCAAGTTCAATCTCCAGCTCACCACGTTCGACATTTTGAAGTCTGAGGGTAATCTCCTGTTTTACTTTGCCATCAACAAGGGAAATTACACTATCCTTGACCAGTGTGTCGTCGTTGGTGGCCAGCCATTTCCCGAGCTGCATGGGCTCGAAGATGTTGGTGTTTTCATATGCTTGGGCTGCTGCAAGCAGCGGCTGGATGTCTATCTCGGCCTCCCCCATGCGATCGTCGGTTGAGAATGTGTCCTTATCATACACTTGCTGCAATCATAAATGCAAAATATGCTCAGACAATGACAATGCCTTCCCGAGACAGTTGAATTATCAAAAGCCAACTTGATAGATTCCATCATACGCTCTGGCTTCCTTGTGTATAATTCTGTTTAAAGGAACTTGTTCAAATTACAATATACCATTGATCAGCATGGAGATTAGATCGTTTATACTGTACTAAGTTTCATTTACAATCAAATTGCCTATCCTAATATCAACCATGTAACTATCAGTATGACAAGCTTATTAGGTTCAGTTGAAGCAGAGACAAAATAAGTCTTAAATTTTGCATGAAGTTATTGCCAAAGAAAATGACAATAAAATGCCCCACTTTTGGTAATAAATGTGGAAATCTAATGTCAGACGGGCATCCAGCGAAATCCAATCACATAAATCCAACATGAAAGCTGATCTCAGACCAACAAAATACATTGCTAACCACATTAGGGCAGCTGAACTATATTATTTTGGAAGATAATAGTTCTTTGATTCATTCATTGTTGGACATCATGAACATTTTGCAAGAAAAAATGATGCAGGACAAGGGGAGTTTCTTAATGAAATATTAGGTGCACTCTCCAACAGATGGTGAATACATGCAATCGAGGGTATTCTCTGCCAAAATCAGCAAGCACAAAGCTAACCTAGGGGCATTTGATGTTGATGCATATAATTATAGTGGTTGAGAAGGCAATGTAGTTTAGGTACAAAAGAACTTACAGCTAAAGCAGCATAGAATGTGCTTTAAGAAATAATCATACTATCCAATATAAGGAGACCTCACTGCTAGAGCTCTAGAAAGTTGCTATAAGATTCTAACTCCTTTTGTTCTTGGAAAATAAGTTTCTTTAAAATGGTAAGCAAGTAAGCATAGTGTTTTACTAAAGTTGTGATGATATGCTGGAGAAGCAAGCCAACGATTGAATGGCACTAGTAAATTTAGTGATAAGCCAAGCCGCTGGATAATAAAATACAGTGTTTACCTAAGTTGCATCAATCTGCTGGATAAGTGAACCCATGAAATAATTCACGTGTACTTGTATTGCTATGCTCAGTAGGTACTATAATACCTATACAGGCTTATACAAAGGTGACCCAATTAACTATGACATTACATGACAAAACATCTATGTCCAGAGAATACGTGCATCAAAATGGTTAATCTCGCAATCATCAAGTAAAGTGGAAAATCAAACATGATTGCTTATGTAAAATTTGGCCAGCAAGAAAAAGAAAATATTTCAGGAAAGGGCATATATTGTTCAGACATAAAAAAATGTGGTTCCCTTAGATAGCTGAGAACATAAATTTTCCTTAACAACTAATACTTACTAGCTTCAGAGGTGGAATGGGATCTGGGATTGATAACATCAGTTTTTCATTCCATACAGGGTTCAGATTGCTCTTGATCACCCGTGTTTTCATCGACTGTAACAGCGAACTAAAAGCTCAGATGTTTAAACCATGAATGAGAAACCAGAGCTGCAAAAGATTAAAATTATTAATCTGGTTCCTTGCCTGGTGTCCCAAGTTCAGGATAACATATGGATCACTGGTAATCACATCCCGAACAGCTAAGTTGGTCCCCCTAATTATGTTGACTTTAACTAATCCAACAAACTCGACCATGCCCATCTGCAAATCATTATCTTATTTGTACAGAATAGAAATTCTAATATATACTGAATAATTTGAAAAGACATACAAATTTAGAATGTTCAGAATCAAATCATGTAATTCATACCATTTTCTTTACTTCCTTATGTTCAGATTCCTTTCTTCGACAACTGTTGCGAAATGCATGACCTCGACCATAACGACTACCAGTCTGTTGCTTCTCAAAATTTTTGATGTTTGCAGCATTGTTCTGAAAAGATGTGTTATCACCGGCAGATATTTCAGATCCAACTTGTGCATTAAAGGTTGAGAACTGTTGCAGCTCATATTTTCTCCTGAGTACAGAAATGTGATACAGATTTAGATCAAAGTTCGACAACATGAAAATTTGACAGTTGCAGGAAGGTACCTGATAAAATCTGTGCGTTCCTCAATGGAGGAATCTGGTCTTGGCTTTTGAATATAATTAGGCAAAAAGGCTTCATATATAATATTTATGGCGGAATTACCGCCCCCATCAGTTAGGGAATCAACCTGTTCATCTGTCCATTCATCTAACTTCATTGATAAAACCTGAAGGAGAATGATGAAAGACTTGAAACTTGTGATGCAAGGCAATGCTATGAAGTCAGCATCATTTTGACAAATTTTCTTGTGCATTGCTAAATCTGATTTTTGTACGAAATTGCATTTCATTGTACAATCTAACAGCCTTATTTGGATTCTAAAATTCATGTTTTGTTTATTGTTCTTTCAAAGTAAGCAATAATCTTCTTGTTTCTAAAGATGGCACAAGATTGATGCACACTTGATACTATGACCAATGGTTTCAAAATTCTCAAATCTAACATTAATTAGTTAGTCTAAAAAGAACTTAATTTATGTAAAGCAATTCTAAACTGAGGTGATGCGTTTCTTGGCAAATTGGAAACTAAAACCAGCATAAGTCCTTTTGGATCAGTTAAAATAACTTCATTTAGTAAATGCTGAGCTATTCCAAAATAATTGTCTTTTCTTAGATAATTTGTACATGTAGTAACAACACAAACACATATTCTTAGTAGCTTATATTTCTTGCATTTCTTGTTTAAATCATGTTCATCATAATCAATCAGTTTAACCAAATACAGTTAGTATTTTTTTAGTTGTCAGACATCAAAAAAGAAATATACTTGCATGAGGAGATATTAGGTTTTTGACCAACAAGCATGCTTTGCAATTATATCTATGTTACACAATGAGATCTTGTCAATAAATATATTCCACGAACAGATATAATTATGTCAAAATGATGTAGATGATAAATCTGTAAACATAAAAACTGATATTCAGATGCAATTTGGTGTTATCATTACCTTAGAGACATGAACTCCAAGACTTCTATGAACCCCAGAGCACTTGATACAGATAAATACTCCAAGATTCAGTGAGCTGATCATAAAAGATAGTAACCATTATATGAATTGTTGAGGAATGGTCATCGGACACTTGAGAAGTAAGGACTACAAATAACAAGATAGAAAGTATAGAAATACAGAAAAATGTTGCAAATTGTCGACTTCCATGCTGAATGAGTCATGAAGCTGTTTCTCAAATGAACACAATAGATATCAATTCATTAACTTCACTCAACTTAGACATTAAGAGATGGTGACAAAGAAGTTGAAAATAAATGCCATCTTGCAAATATAAAACAATATATGCATTACTTGAACTGGAGCAGTAGATCTATTTAGACTAAGAACTGATAGATGCACTGAAGCTATAACAGAAGCAATGCAGAAAGATATGTAGAGTATCAACTATCAATAATCAGATAGATGCTTACATCCATTTCGGGTCTGGTGAGTCACAGTCGGCACAAAATCTGTTACTTGGTTGATTTGATAAAATCTTTAGCCTTCTAAGTGGAGTTGAAGAATCTGCAAAAAAATGAAGTCAGATTAGACTTTTTTGCTTCATATTTTTATTAAAAGTCACAGAGAACTAGAATCAAGAAATCGAAGAATGTACGATATAGCAATAAAATAAACTTGACATTGTACTTCAATAAGCTATTTATTACATTTAATGTTGCATGACTAGCAGAAATCTTCCAGAACTCTAATGTCTGTTCTGCAATCCCAGCAATTCAGAAAGTTGATAGAAAGTACAATTCCTTGAATTCAGAATCATATCTCCTAATATTTGTAATACTGTTTCAGCTATCCAAAGCCAAATTCTGTATATTGTGAAGCTTACAATATATGGTATCTGTTTTTTAGTCATTCAGTAACTTGTCAACTTAAGTAGCTGCCACTTTTTGCACTCGGTTGAGGAATAAAAAAGAAACAAAAAAAGAAGTGATCCTACACTTTGTTCACAAATTATGTATATAAATGATGCAGCATCTGTAAGTTTACAAGATCATGTCCTGATCTATTGAAACACAAGCAATTGAGGATTTCATAACAAAAGTTCTTTAAATTGTATCAATGGACTTTATTAGACTTCTCTCAAGGCCGACACATAATCCAAGCCACCTGGTCTGTAAGACCAACAGAATAGCTTGGCGCGTAGGAATCTGATGCTCTTGGACACCCAAATGGACTATTAATTTCCAATGACAGAAAAATCATGTCAATTTGCGACATTTGAGCTTGTGTAAAGCGATTATAGATCTGTTCCTTATATGGCTATGTAAAGAAAATATTTGAGCTTGTGTAAAGCAATTCTAGATCTGTTCCTGCCGTCCAATTCACCTGGCTATGTAAGGTTGCACAATTGTGACCAGGCGACCAGGTAAACTGTTACTGAAACAATCTCCCCTCCGTATGGAGCGGTAAGAATATGTTATTAGAGGGCTCATGCACTGGTTGGCACGCTTTTATCTTCTGATTCACGCCGACCTTCCACATCAAGTACTTTCTTCTTTGTGCCTTGAGAATGCATTTGTTAACTATTAAAGTTGGTAATTTCTACTTCAAAGAAAATGCACTACCGAACACGTTAAACCAACAAGCCATTCTCTAGCACTTCTCAGTCAGAAGACAGGCTGCTAATACCAAATTAAAGTTGTCAGATAGGTTCTTAATCGCCACCAATTTCATGCAAATCAGAAGTCCCTGAAAGAACGACCCTCACAACCAGAGGCCAAAATCACATCAAGAACGGAAGGAAATGAACAGAACATGACAAGCAACGTAAGAACGGAGGAACCAAGTCCCCCAAAGTACTGACAAAACAACGAAAGCAGAGATAATCATAAAAACATCAAAACATCAAATGAAAGAACCTGCAGATTTGCAGAGGCCGTGGTTTCCTTGTTTGGTAGACATTTACACAGCAACTCCCCCCCCTCCCCAAAACGAATCACGGCCACCGTGAATGCCAAGTCTCCCTGCAAAAGCAAAACCACAATTCCTTCCATTCGCATCATCTGATAAGCCGCAAACAAGAAGGAACCACGAAATCCTTTTTTACCTTTGTATCGAAATCGATCAGACCAAGGCAAGGGAGGGCATCGTCACCTTCCCATCCGAAAGCGAGAACCGCCAACCATGGCGATTCAGTTCTAACAACCGAATGCCTGCAAGTCAGAGATTGGAACGATGCACATATATATCCATCTCCCCACCCGCACGTCCGTTACTCATTATTATCATTATTATTATTATTATTATTATTTCTTTTTTCTACCCTATGATATATATATTAACAGAAAATAAAATTGAATATAAATTGTAGGGCAAGAAACGGATAAGATGAGAGTTAATGGAGTGGCGAATAGGTTTTTTCCGTTGTTAATTAAGGAGAGTTTCCTTAGACATTAGTTGGCGGACTTCATTATTGCGCATAACTTGCGGTTTAGTTGGAGTCACGTCGCGGAGGCACACGTGGAGGTCGGAGACAAGTGGCGACGGGGCTGGACGTTGCTGATGAATAGTTGCGTCGATTTGGTGATGCGAGAACGATTTAACGAGCGAAGAATGACCAAATCTTTTCTTTATAAGATAGAAAAGAAAGGAAAAAGATATACAAGAATATTTTATTTTATTTTGAGTGGAGTGGAATAACTCGTATGTAAGATAAAAAAAAACCTTCACTTTTCATCAAATCAATGTAGTCCATCCTTGGATAATCAACTTGAGTATAAAAAAATTATTAAGTCTTTCATGAGTGTTAATTAAATAGAAAATTTTATTTTGATATTAATTATTAGAATTTTAATGATACTAAGAGGAGGATGAATTAGTATCATAATAAATTTTAATTATTTTAAAATTTTGATCAAGAGTTATCAAATATTAAGTATGAGAAATAATTATGAGTAAAATAAAGAATAATAAGTAAGTAAGCAATCATGAACAAAAATCATTAAAAAAAAAGATAAAATCAATCTATAGTGATTCAATCTTTTCAATTAATACTTTAGATTTTTTTATCAACGAGGTTATCGGTTTTCATTAATGATCTTTCTTTTAATGAATGAATATCAATTATCCTCGTTGTAACTTTCTCATTTTTCAAGCTCAGAAAATCTTTTATAAAAGACCTTTTACTTACGAGACGCTACACTCATTGTACCTTGGAGGTAATAGTACCATTATTAATTATTTTTAGGTCATTTGTTTGGTCTTTTAATGGGCTCATTTGACCCAACTTCAAATTTAATATTTTTTATAAACTTGAGTTATATTTCAATATAACACTGGTTTAAATTAACTTAAAATGATTTCAACCAAGACCTTGGCTCATCAACTACTTATGTAATATATTTTAGAAGTCTTCTAAATCTTTCAAGACTTCATTCAAACATTCATCACATTATTTTATCTTCTGATATATCATCCAATCCTCGATTTTATCATGACTTTTGATCTTTTGGTATGATATTTAATCCTTCCGGATCAATGTTCAAATCTTAAAGTTTGTTCCCTAACATATCAATCAATCTTCCGACTCGATACTAATTTTGGATACACTAATATTTCAGCATAACGGTTGACTCCTTGACTCGTCATTTGGCCTCTTGGTGGTTCGATAATCAAAATATTTTTTTACATTATTTATCTTAACATATTAATTCAATGAATTCGTTAATTAATTTTATTATTAAATTTTAGGATTAAAGAACAAGAAGACATCAACGAGGACGAGTCTTCATGAACTTCCTCGTGTCAAGTCCTTGCTTCAAAGAGGACTCAAGCCCAATGATAACATCGCCATCGAGAAGACAACATCGCCGCGTAAAATGAGAAATTGGAGGAGATATTGGTGTCGAGAAAGGAAGGTCGATGAAATGTCACTGCATATATATATATATATATGTATATATATTTAGATTAGGATTTAGATTTTAATGAACCTTCTGGATCTCACCATTAACTCATGGACGGGACCACCCAACACCAATGTTGATCCATTAATTGTTCACTTAGTAGAACAACTAGGCCCAAGGAATGTACACCATCCAAGGAATAATTAATGTGCTTACACTTCTCCCTATCACCACAAAACCCATTTCTTTTGCCAACCACTGCATATATATATATATATATATATATATATATATATATATATATATATATATATATATTGTATACTTCTGGTCTCCCATCTGAGCCGCTCCTCATCAACACTAAATCATTAACATATACGCAAGAAGATACAGATGGTGGTGATTACGATTTAGTCGTCTATTTTATGTGATTACCCTCGACTCCATCCATCAGAGGAGAGAGAAAGCAACAGAGACAGTGAGAAAGCGATGAGGGAAGTAGGTACAAGGACGGAGATAAGAGGGAGAGGCAAATCTAAAGGCAATCGGATGAGACTGTTGAGGACGGGGGAGACACACCGCGAATAAAAGGTGGTGCCAATGCTGATCTCAGCGAATCCCCATGCAAGGATTTGGTGGGCCACCTCCGATCCTTGCCCGCCGCGTGCTACGCATCCAGATCGATTAGCCCTTTTCGTGCTCATTGAGCGCGCTGGTGTTTCGGCTTAACCTGGTCCGGAGGGACATTTCCGGAGGTGGCTCATAAATAAGGCAACTTGCCATGAGGGAGAGGGTGTGAACGTCCGTAGTGGCTTTGCTTGATATCCAATTCACGGCTTGGGGAGATCCGAATGATATCTGTTCGATCTTGGTTTGACGAAGATGAGATTTGGGTGTGTTGGAAGGTGGATTATATTTGATTGCCTCGGTGGTTTTTGGAATAGAGAAGAGAAGAGAACCACCTTAGCCAAACCAGCGGCCAACCCAAAACCCCTTCCTCACCCTTTCTTCTTCTTCTTCTTCTACTTACCTATCATTGGGTACGTGTCCTGTCCATCATTTGCCAAAAAGTTGGTGCTGCTGTTGTTGTCTCTGAAAGAAAGGAGGAGAGTATTATGGGTGTTGATCCTGAGGCACAGTTTCATGTGCTGGCCGTGGACGACATGACAGTCTCATCGACAGAAAGCTCATTGAGAGGCTTCTCAGGACATCTTCCTACCGAGGGAGGCACTCTCACTGCTAATGGTTTCAAGCATAGGGAAAAGGGGAATTATCACTCACTAGTTTAAATCTTTTTTTCCTTTAAAGAAATGTTTTGGTGCTTCAGTTACCACAATGGATTCAGGGAGCAAAGCCTTGGAAGTGTTGTGGGGTTGATGGAGGACCAGGATATCTCATCACCTGCCTCCACATATAAAAATGTAACTTGAATGAACCCTTTTGATTTTGTAGCTTGTGATGAAGAATCCTGGTTCTGATTGGTTGTTGTGGTAATTTTGCTTGTAGCAAATTGAGGTGAATTTGGTGATAACAGATTATTGTATGCCTGGGATGACAGGGTATGATCTGCTCAAGAAGATCAAGGTAGATTTGATGGTTGTTCTCTCCTCTTAGAGATGAAACCACTAATTTTTGCAGCTAATTGGAGAAAAAGAAAAAGTCCAAGAAAGAGATCCATCTCACAAATCTATATGATAGGGAATTGATCTCTGATGATATATTTGATTCCATGGACAAATTTGATATGGTAGGAACTACAAAACTAGAAACGTGGTTTTTCTTCAATGTACTCTCTGGTTCAAAGAAATCCTTACTACATTTCTTGCCCCCAGCCGAGGCAACAACTAATAAAAGGGGGAAAAGATTCAAAGTAGCAACTGGTGCCCATGACATGTTTGTCTTCCAAACTGGTACGCCATCTTTTTCTCTGGTCATACCTCGGGAGGAATCAGGACAAAGGCTTTCTATGCCAACAGAGTCAAACATCCAAAACCTTTTCCTTATAAGATTTGTTCAATGTTTAGAAGTTGGATGTGATAAGCGAAAAAGGATTGGAAGTCCCCACCTCTTATCCTCTTTCTTCTTAACCTAAAAGATGGAAATGCTTTGGTGTGTACTGATGACAGATGCTTGGAAGGAGGAGCAGAGGAGTTCTTTCTCAAGCCAATACAGGTTTCAGACATGATCAGGCTCAGACTTTATATGCTAAAAGGAAGACTGAAAGAGCAGAAACAATCACAACAACAAGAAAATAACATTACTACTGGCAGCAGAAGCAATAGCAATAACAACAATAACATCAATAAGAGGAAGGTCATGGATGGGGGGCTTTCACCTGAGAAGAGAAGACTAAGATTCTCCGGTAATAGCTTGGCATTAGTGTCATATGAAGAGATCTAATTGCTTTCCAGAGAGTGATCCCCATGCAACCTGCTGAGCTCAGCAGTCGAGACCCGAAAGCAATTAGTGTGCTATGACACTAATTGCTTTCCGGAACTGAAAGAAAGCATTTAAGCTTTCTTTCAGTTCTTTGTGCTATGACACTAATTGCTCCGAATGTCATTGTTCATTTTAATTCGGGGTAATAGCACAAAGAACTGAAAGAAAGCATTTTAAGCTTTCTTTCAGTTCTTTGTGCTATGACACTAATTGCTTTCCGGAGAATCTTAGGCGACATTCGGGGTATTTGAAAGTCGATCCCCATGCAACCTGCTGAGCTCAGAAGTCGGAACCTGATCGATGGGAGAATCTCGATCAGCTTTGAAAATTACAAAGCTGCATCAACATCCAGCAGGATCCAATACAACAACGCTGATGATGAAACATTTAGCGATGAGGAGGAAATACGAAGCCACACAATAGCTGTCAATGTCCAATTAGAAGACAGTGAAAATGAGGCCGAAGAATTACAAGAAAACCTCAATTTTTATTTCCGGGATGTTCACGGTACAGAAGAAGATGTGAAGCTACCATACCCCCGGAAGCATCAGAAGGAATTAATTGCAGCGGGACTAGAAGAAGAACTGATAATGGAGTATCCGCAACTTGCGCGATTATCCCAACAGGTATACTCATCATCTGCTATTTCAAATTACAGGCCACCAACAGACTCAACTATGGGGCCAGTGAATTACCCCCCTGCTGTGAATATAGAGTCTACGAGCCAAAGGCCGGAATATGAGGGATACTCAAGACAACCTAGGTTCAAGGCAAAGAACTTTTCATAAGCCTGGAACCTCCCCTTGGCCTTCCAGCAACAAGGAGCTATGTTCATAATCCCATCCCAATTAGGGATGTTTGACGAAGTCTTCATGAGATGGGAATCAGTAACGAAAAACTTGGTATCTTTACAAGGATTTACTGACCCCTTAGCAAAAATGGAGTTCATCGAAAACCTGCTCGGGGAAGCAGAAAAATTAGCATGGATCCAATGGAGAATGGCCTACCCAGAAGAGTACCAACTACTGATGACAAATGCGGATAGGACGGGAGGAACGCAAAACATCCTCTCACAGTTAAGGACAATATTCATATTGGAAGACCCATTCCAAGGATCCACCACGGCACAAGAAGAAGCCTACAGAGACCTTGAAAGGTTATCCTGTACTAATCTCAAAAATATTATTCAATTTTTAAATGATTATATGAGATTAGCATCAAAAACAGGAAGGCTATTTCTAGGACCAGAATTATCTGAAAAATTATGGTCCAAGATGCCAGGAGAATTGGGAAAAAGGATCAAAGAAGCTTTTGAAGCAAAATACAGAGGAAACACCATAGGAGTAATCCCAAGAATACTTTTCTCCTATAAATACTTGGAAGCAGAGTGCAAAGATGCTGCCTTCAGAAGAGCGCTAAAGGACTTATCTTTCTA